CATCTTCAGTTTTATATTTTTTTTCAAGCGCATTCCACAATTCTTTTGACGTCTTCACGCCACTGTATACATTATACAGATTATCATCCAGTCCGCTAAGAATATAATTCTTGTATAAAAAATCAGAATGCTTTCACGCTCCAATCACGAGAAAGCGTTCATTCTCTGGAGTTTTATCTGGCAGATCAGGAACATCTTCCTTGATGAACTTCTGTAGACATAACGTAGTTAAGTAGAAGAACATTTTCTGCTGCCAGCGCTTAAAATCAATCCCGAAATTTTTTTTGGGTTTTTCTGCCGGTGCCAACGCCGGTGTTCGGCTTGTCGATGCGTTGGCAGTCACCATCGGAATAGCTTGGTTTTCGCCTTCAGTCGCCATTTTTTTTGGAAAAAAAATGACACAAACAAATGTTTAATACACGTTTTCAAACTGGAGTAAAAATCACGTAGATTTGAATCTCCAACAAAACGCCACGAAGGCTTTACTCTCCAAAACGGGAGTACACAAAACCACAAAGGTTTTAGTTTGCAGAATAATAAGAATAACACAAATACCGAAATAAATATTAAATTCCTTAAGCTTGTTAGACCGGCCAATATTGATGTATTTGTAAATAATAATTCTGTAAAATATAAGTTATCGTAATGAAACAGTAATTAATTCGAGCTCACTGAATTCACGGTGTTTCTTTAAGGAATTTAATCCCCTCCTAGTACCCAAGGTTATGGATTATTTTCTCCCAGGATAGAACGAATCACACACTGGTATAGCAGTACTTCAAACCCCAGTGTTTCAGCGAACACAAACTTCGATAGCAAATCACACTTACAGTTGCTTTGTTTGAAGTTAAAACAATGCAGAACAAAGGAGTAGAAACTCAGAAAATCGTATGGAAATGCTGAGAGGAAGGAGTGCAATGTATAGCCAAAGTTATCCGAAGCCGAATCCGAAGCCGAGCGAGCGACGACGACGACGGCTCGAGGCTTGTTTTCTTCTTAACTCTTTAAGAGCTACAAGAAGAGCAATTATATATATACCCACCAAAAATCTTTTCCTCTTCCAATATGGGACAATGCCTCATTGTTAAGAGAGGAAAACTTAAAATTTTACTCAAAAATTTTATTTTCCCTCTATTTCCCATTCACCCTCATTTTAAGACTATTTCAATAAAAACCTCAACAGAATTCACTGAAGATAAAGTACGATTAAAAATGAGTTCTACAAAGATCGTTTTCCAGAGAAGGAGTGAAAGAAGATGTTCTGAAGACATTTGAGGTGTTTAACAAGGAAGGAGAATTTGTTAAAAGCTAGAATTCTACCTTTATTGATTTAATTCCAAAGAAGAAAGGGCTGTCAACGACAACATAAAGGAATTCAGACCATAGTAATATGAAAAAAAAATATATATAATATTTCCTTAACTAAACTGATTTAAAATTGGGATACCGTTCCTAAGTAAACTTCCTAATTAACGTTGACCAATTAAATTATTCTCTAATAGTAATTAAGGAGTTGCCTAATTACTCAAATTATGCTAATTAAATACTTGCCTAATGATATTAAGGAGTTGCCTAATTACTCAGATTATGCTAATTAAATAGTTTCCTAATGATATTAAACATGTTTTAGTAAATAATTTAATTGTTATTATTCAAAGATGCTGTACAGGTAAGCATCCATGTAAGATAGATTAGTGTTACAAATACTTAGTAATAGTAGATGTAATAGTAGTTAATAGATATAATAGTAATTAGTAATTAATAATATTAGTTTTACTTTTATTACCAAAAAAGAAAAGCTCTTATACATAAAATACTTATTTGTAGTAGGAAAGTGACATTATTAAAATTGAAATATTATTAAATAGCACGAGAATCACAGTTTGAGAAGATATCAAATAAATTCTAATAGTAATGTTGCCTTATAAATTCTAATAGTAATGTTGCCTTTGGTGTACAATTACACACAAGGAAAGAATCATAACCGACCTAAATTGTTCATTCTATATACAGTAAAAATGTGAATCCCAGTCTTAGTAGGAATATATTCTTTAGTACTATTTTAACTTTCCAAATTGTCAATACCAAAACATCCCTATAAAATCCTAAACTTTTTCTCAAAACATTGTCTGAAATTCACTTCTTTGGTATAATTCATCAAATAATTTTTCTTTCTCTTAGACTCGAATACGCAACATGAAAAAGACTTTGATTTACAATTTCATCCCGACAAAAGCAGAAGAAGAAGCATGTAAAGCTAGCAACACGCCGTGGATAGTAACTCGTCAAATAAAAGAAATTAGGGACATATACCCTCCTCCAATTATTGATTTAAAGGATCCGTGGCAAATTAATAAAATCATCACGCATTACGAGGCGGTCGTCGGGAAGTTGATCGTGCCTTCGGCCGAAGCGTTCGAGCATATTTTTCGATATTGGACATTGGATATGGCTAATGTTGTTGAGTCAGGGCGCAAGAAGAATATCGGTTTATGGGATGAAACTGATAAGAAAAACCCTAAGAAGTATCATGATGAATTGACTTATTTTGAGATGTTGCCTAATAATGATTATGCACTTGTGTGTTTGGATTTGTTTAAAGATCGTGGATTAAGTGTTAATGACGAAATTGGACTATATTGGGATCCTAGGTCTTCCAATTTTAAGTTTAAGTTATTTTGTAAGGATCATGTTTAATGGGATTTTTGTGATGGTCTTTTTTTAATATTTTTTATTTGATATTCGATACTCATATCAAGACCGATTAGATTTGGATTCGCATCGGATCTAGTCTTTGTGATGGTTTCACATAGTTATTTTCATATTGTAAGGAGATTGAAAGATTGTTATACTTATATATCTAAAAATGATTGGTGGTGATTGGCGTGTGCTCTCTAGCAATAATATTAAATTTACGTCATTTTCTTTTCTTTTTCTAAAATGATGTTCTTCTTTTCTCTGTTGCTTTGCAATATCATGTGTGAATTACTAACAGTTGTTGTTTATTCATAAAATAAATAAAAAATTAACAAAAAAGCGGGGCTGATTTTTGTTACATATAGAAAAGGCACAAAAAAGTTTATGTTGTATCCTCAATTGGCGTGTAATTGTTTTTGAAGCAATTATAAGCAATTCAGATATAAATTTCTTAATATTTTATAAATTAGAATATACATAATTGTAAGCATTATAAAAATTATTGTAGATTATAACTTATGCGATTAAAATTACTTTGAAAATTTATGGAAAAGTTGTGGTCAAAGAAAAAGTTATTTGACTCCCTAAAATATAATAGTATCATATAACGGTGAACAAAAAGGGTAGTACCCCAACGTGGTATAATGTAGACAGTCTACTCTGATGCAAGCATCATTGGCAGATTTCACGGCTCGAACCCGTGACCTATAAGTCACACGAAGACAATTTGACCGTTACTCCAAGGCTCCCCTTTAGTACCATATAAAGTAGAACATAGAAAATAGTGAAGTACCATACTGATAAAAGCAAAGTAATCCAACTTCTAATAAAGGTAGAATGTACAAAAATAGTTAATTACAAGATCCATGGATTTCAACTGATGTAAAAGTGCCCTTATTTTGTGATTATTAACATAGATGGATAATGAATTCAGCTAGATTACTAAGAGCTTGACAGGCTAAAATTTGATAATAGCAGCACCACTAGAGGGCTTTGATGCAAAAATATACAGACCAAGATAATCCTTATTGATTATTCCTTTGTCAATTCTTGATTGATAGAATTGCTCCTGAAACAAAATAAACAAACTAGTTTAGTTAACAAATTGCATAATGTTAAGATCCAGTCATTTTATGCCAGATTTTCAACTGAGATGAATGAAACCTAGAGCTAGCCCATGGGGCCCGCGCCCACGTAAGGTTGGGCCGACCATTATTTTGGTGGGCCAGTCCAGCCTAGCCCATCAAATGCCATGGCCGGTATGGGCTAGGCTGGGCTGGCCGGCGCATATTGACAGCGCTAATGAAACCATACCTTCAAATTGAGTATAAACTGTGGAACAAGACTCTCTTTCACTAAAGCCACAGCACATCCACCCCATCCAGCTCCTGTAAGCCTTGCTCCGAGAGCACCATTATCTCGACAAATCTTAACAAGCTCCTCTAACTCGGGACAGCTGATAAAGAGAAAACATTCGATGAGCTTAACTTCTATATACTGACCTGGAAAATAAGATCGGGCGACCTACTATAACTGGTTAAAATACACTGATAGTGTAAAATTCTTTAGATTGTCAATGTACATAGGTTAAAATCATATTTGATATATCAAAATAAGAGACACTGAGAGAGTATATTTAACGTCTTGATTATATAATTGCTATTATTTGTGTGACGATAATCATTAGTTACATGTTACAATAGCAACATTAAAGTAAGAAACTTAATTACCTGCACTCATATAGAACACTGCAGCTGTAATGACTCTCATTCATAAGGTAACCGAGCTTCTTCAGCATGTCTTCTTCACTGCAAATATACAACATTGGTTTTAAAGGTTAAACTATTACATTAACGTGGACAACGACATGGATGATTTACCTTAATTTTGAGGATACATTGTCTTTAAAAGTATGGACACGTTTCGCTTCAGAATATACATGAGCAGCCCTCTGAAAGATGAATCATCAGTCAAATGTGTTGATTGTAATATATTACTGAATTTTAACAAGGAGAAGAGAGAATTCTAAAATCATAAGTTTCTTGTTATCTAACCTGTTACGATCGGGAAATCGGGTAGTGCAAAATTTAGCCAAACAACGTTATAATGACAATAACAAATACAATGCAAGTTGATAATAACGGCAATTAAAGAAGATAAAAAAGATACAAATTTAACGTGGTTAGGTCAAGGTGACCTACGTAGTAGGTCACAAGCGGAGAGGAACAATTTTACTATAGTACAAAATTAGAATAAATACTCTAATTAGTCCCAAATACCCCAAGAGAATAACCTCACAAAATCACTCACAAAATCACTCCAAAAAAAGGGGATCATACAAGTATTTTCCAACACTCAACTCTCTTACAAAATACTCTCAATTACTAAAGGAGAGAAAGACAAGAGTGCGAAGCTCTTGAATTGGTGTGTTTATAAATGAGAAGAAGCTTTTCTATTTATAGAAAGAAATCCTTGGCCTAATAGTGGATATTATGTTATGGCAAATGTCATGAAAACTTGGTCCACAAATTTTATTATAGTGGATATTATGCCATGACAAATATCATGAAAACTTGACCCCCAAATAAGCCAAATTAATGGTCATATTACATAACCTCCACCACAGAGGTAAGCGCATAGAAAATGGAAAACTAAAATCAGTTAAACAAACATATAATACCTGATGCAATTTGTAATACTTGGCCGCCCTAAGCACATCCAAAGAAGTAGAGGAATTGGAAAAGATAGTTTCCAACTTTTCTTGTGTGATTTTCTCAATATCTTCGGACGCATATGGTTCCTCATGCAAAAATTGCTGTAGCAGCGACAGAAAATGTTAAAGCTTACTGTAAAACAAGCAAAATATCATGCAACAACATGCACACCAATCAGAAAACCAAAGCAAAAATACAAAACTAACACTAGGTACTGCAATCAGAAACCCGAAACGAAAGTAACAACAAGTAATATCAGAAGTCAAGGAATACGAAAACACATAAATGACACTAGGTCATGTATTAAAGTAAAGCTAATGTTACAATCTACAGACAAGGACAACGAAATCAAGATAGATAGATTGACCTCAAGTGGAGACGAAATTTATACCTTCACGGCGAGGACAGGATCAGAAGATTCAAGTGTACCAGCAAATGATACACACAAATCTTCAACGTCTGAAAGTGTTTTTACATTACATATTGCCTCTTGCGGTTCCATTCCCAGCTTTATGCCCAATACAATCTGTAAAAGATCAAACGGCTGCCATCAAGGTGGGGAAAGCAGCAAATTGAGAACGAGTTAATCTATCAGGCATATTCGGACGAGTTTAACTTTTATCCACGTATAAAATAGATTTTTACGCTATCAAATCATTTAAAGGATGACTATAGGTAACCGTTCATAATAAGTGGGAATACAGTCAAATCTTTCTATAACGACATCCTCATATAATAGTCATTCACTATAAAAGTCATGTTTTTCTTGGAACCGTTTATTATGTTATGTTATGATATATGTGGTCCTCTATAAGGACACTTCACTAAAGCAGTCAAAAGATATCGGAACAAATAAGGCTGCTATAAAGAGGTTTGACTTTGTAACTAAATTGCTACAATAGGTTAACATAGAATTATAGTGTAAAAGTTCTTTTCACTATCGTTCATAGTGTATGTAACTTAAATTCTATTCAAATAGGTTATTCTACTATTTTTCAAATGCTAGCATACTGAGATGCGGCAATGCTAAAGCAAAATGAATCTAAAAGTCATTGGCGTAGCTCAATGACTAATAAGATTCAAGCTTTAAATTGTTGCATTAGTACATTTATGAAAGCAACTTTCAGATGTCATAAAAATCAGTGGTAAACAGATAAGTAGAGAACTACGTGTTGCGGAGACACATTGATCATTTGTGCTTGAAAACACTGCAATCTATGACGGGAAGGATGAAATAAACTTACTGCAGCTAGACGACATTCAACAACCCGATTATTGTAGTTAATAGCAGCAGTAACTGCTTTTTGTGATTCAGCTAACGAATGGGCTATTACAAAAGAACCACCAGTAGGTAGTTGTATATCCATTGCACGAATAGGATTGAAATCAATCAGCTCAGCAATTCCAGATTGTGCCATAACAGATATGGCCTGTAAAAAAATTAACCGGTTTTCAGCACAAAGATACACATATGACTAAACGATATATCAAAATGTAGAGTTCAAAAACAATACCTGATCCATTCCACCAGACTGTGTGCCGATATGCCGTTCACATTCACAAGTAAGTTGTGCAATTTCTTTCTGCAGGAAAAAGCAAAATTGTCACTTTTCTACTGAAAGGGGATAAAAAGGAGCAAAATTCACAATGTTTTCCTTCACCTTAAGAGGAAAAGGAGCATGTCTAATTAATACTATAGGCTCATAAGTCATTTTGTAGCAGTTTAGAAGATATACATTACCTTGGGTAGGTTTACACCTAATGCAGCCATTATAGCAATAGTGGAAGAGCAAACAAGTGCTGCAGAACTTGATAGACCAGAACCTGCATCGACAAAATTAAATCCACGACAAAAGAAGGGCAGCTCGGTGCACTAAGCTTCCGCTATGCGCGGGGTCTATTATACGCAGCCTTATCCTGTAATTTTGCAAGAGGCTGTTTCCACGGTTTGAACTCGTGACTTCATTATATTTGAAATATGACAAAGAACTGACTGGTACACAGACATTGATCTAAGATAGTAAGGCATATACCTGTCGGAACTGTACCATCAACAACAATATCAAGTCCGACTCGTTCACCAACATCGATTCCTTTCGATTTGACATACTCATAGAAACCCTTGTACCTGTAACACATTGCTTATCATCTTTTACCATCAGAAAAATATATGAAAAGGTTTCATTTTTCCCATAATTCAAACTTCTAGCAGTCCTTATCTCCCAAGAGTATGAGTACTAAAACTATAAAACTTTGTGGCCATCAATATGCTTCTAAAACCTTCATAAAACCATGTAACAAGAAAAACCAATAAATAGCAAATTCTTACCCGCAAATGACATAATGACCCCATTTGTGGTTTTTCACATCAATGTCCTGCAAATATGGAAGTTAAAAATATTAAAAACGCTGGAAAAAGGAAACAAAAATGCTCAAGATCCATCAGACTCCATAACTTTTTCTTTTCTTTCATTTTCCGCCATCCGTAGTGAATCAATAAACTCCCATCTCCCCCACCCCATCAAATTTTAATGAACTATTCACATATGAAAATGTATCACCAACTGAAATTCCAGAATGCATAAATAAAGGCATAAGGCCAGCCCGGTGCACTAAGCTCCCGCTAGGAGCAGGATCCGGGGACCACAAGGTCTATTGTATGCAACATTATCCTGCATTTACGTAAGAGGTTGTTTTCACGGCTGGAACCCGGCATCAACTTTACGCCAAGACGAAATTCAAGACAGAATGCAAATATTTAAAATAAAGAGCAACCAATGCTATGCTTCTAATACCAGCAATAGTAACAATATAACAACAACTACACCTCAGTGCCAAACAAGTTAGTATCGGTTATATGAATCCTCACTTCTCCATTTAAGCTCAACTCATGTCACCATCAAACCAAATAAATAAATAACAATATGATAATCAATAATGCAATACCTGCAGTGGATCAGCAGGGTAAGAGCACAATGTGTACTTGTCACCATTTACATTTGCAATTCGAAGAAGCTTCTCAGACTCATTACTATCGCACTTCCTTATAGCCACAATTGTATCTTGTCGAATCGCCATTGGCAATACAGAGTACCCCTCGTAGTCAATATGTTCTCCAATCAAATTCACTCTTCCTACATATTTAACCATAAAGACATCAACATGAAAGTTTAAATGCAAAGTTTTCAAATGAATAAAAAGTTTAAGATGTTAAAAATCAATTTGACTCAAACATCATATTAGAATAAAAAAAAGAGAGTTAAATAGTATAATGAACTAGAATTCTTAGTGCCAACCAATTTCTATGTGAAAAAAGGTGTGTGAATAGCCATAACAACAAATATGCCTTAATCCCAAGCAATTTCCATATATAAATTATCACCGTCCATGTCGCTCCATTTAATCTCGTATCAATCAAAGTATATACTACTCCTATAAGATAAAAATCCAAAATAAGAAAAGTATTACTATAAAAGTTCTCTATTCTTTCTAGTGGCATATAAGAAACTCTTAAAAAGCAATGGACCTAACCATAACATATTAACATGACTAAAACTTAATCTCAATTAATTGAAATCACATCAACTTTAAAATTAATTTGACTTATATGATACGACAGCGTGTCACATAAATATAGGAGTATACAACTATACATTCCGTGACGGAGCCAGGAATTTAATCGAGGGGATTAAAAGAATATACACACTTGAGATATGAACCTAATGCCAAAGCCAGGAATTCGACAAGGAGATTAAAAAATATATATATATATAATAACGTCAACCTATGTTAAGGGAATTCAACAATTTGTATATAACTAACATAAAAATTTTGAATGTTTGAATTAACCTGGGGATCGTGCGTAAATATCAGGAGAGTGGCCAAAGAAGTCAATGAACTCGGACTTCAAATTCTTGAACCGAATTTCAGCTTCTTTGAGTTGTGATTCACTGCCATAAACAGGCTCCAGTGTAGAGTAAATTGGAACAGGTAATTCTTCATGTTTGACCAATGAAACTTCTCCCATTGTAATAATACGTTTTATGCAAGACAAAAACAAAAGGAACAAGTTAATAGGAAAATAAAAAAGGTGACAAGAGTAAGAATATAAGGTAGTTACTGGATTGAGATAAAATAAACTGAATCCGGAATACGAAAGATTATGGATATATTTTGTAGATGACTCCATATTTTCTAGGACTTATCCTTTAACCTCGCCAAATTTATCTACTTTTTTTTAAAAAACATTTTAACAAAGTTAATTGAGATAAGGAGAAATCCAACTGAATAAGCAGTATATTGGGGACGAGTTTAAATAATACGCGTCGTTAGTGTAGGAAACTTATTGTAGCAATTAATTGATCTTATTTTCAAAATTATAAATATATATTACCTATAAATATTCTTTAAGTGACTTAATAATGCTAAAAGAATTTTACACTATGTTGGATATAACTTTAACTCTATTGAGATATATAAAATTCAAATTATAACCTTATTAATTTAATTTGAAGTGTCAGCTAATGGACTTACTAAAAGCCACAAGTGTATCGGTTCTTGATTACATCCTTTTGCTATTATCTTTTTTTTTCCGAAGAGTGCAGCCCCTAACATTAATCGTCTATGAAGGTCTAGAATTTGATATTCTTTGTTAAAGCTTGGTTATTCGTGAATGAAAACTCGTTTTGTTTGTTGGCCGATAACTCTATGATCGATTAGCTCGAAATCTCAATTGGAGATTGTTGGTTATGTGAGTTATAAAGAAAATTTCTAGACAAGAGCAATTTTGCGGAAACTAGTACTGAGATCTCAGGTTGAAGAGTGTTTGCATTTGGGAATAACTTAATGTTTCATCTGGCTCGCCATAAGGATTATGGGCTTGACCAAGGTTCTCCCAAGTTCTAAATGTTTTTTATTCATCAAATATAGTACATAAAAAAACATTTATACAATTTTACAAAAAATGAACAATCGTCAAAAACTACACATAAATGTCAATATCGTAAACGTGAGATTTTCTTTTGGCTTTTCTATATTAGTATTGAATAATAAACTTCCATAATTGTCCAATATAATAGACCTAAAAGAATATTGGAAAGTCTCACGTACTATTGACAATGAGTAACAAATTTATACAGTTGTGTATGAAACAAAAAAGGAAAAGAAAACTGAAATGGGATATCATCATCGCAATTAATGAGAATTAGAGAAATATTAACATTTGTTATAAATATATTAAAGTGGATGTCCATTGAATACTCCATACATCCCTATTCCATGAACCATTTGAGTTCATGTATTTAGTTAATTCATCACTTAATATTTGTAACTTTTAGGTGTATTCTTGTAACCTTTCATGTATCCCATATCCTATAAATAGGGTATACTTTATCTTATGAAGTATACATAAGAAACACACTTTGAATAAGAGAACATCCACATTCTCCTCCTATATATCTTGTCTTCATTACTATATTGCTCTATTTTGCTCTCATTTCTTAACACGTTATCAGCACGAGTCTCTAACTATAGGTGTTGAGCTTATTTTCTTTCCGACTCAGTTTGGCCGTATTTGAAGCTAGAGGCTTCGGCATAAGAAATTCAATTTATAATAAAATTATAAACAGACATTGAGGTACGTTGCTGACCTCAAGTTATATTTACTTTGATTTTGCTGGCAAGATACAATGCTATCATTAGATGAATTAGGTATGCATACTACATGGTAAATTAATCTTTAATTATATATTTAGCTCTAAAATAACTATAAGATGGGATACCGATGGAATAGAATCATTATACACGGCCACGATTCTTCCGTCTTATTCACTTCTAATTGAATTGCATGATAGTTTAATATATGTATGTAGTAAATTACATTATTCACTTCTAATTGAATTGCATGATAGTTTAATATATGCATGTAGTTAATTATATTAAATAATGGTTATGGTTTCTAAGGTAGTGCTTGCATTTTTCTTTCATGAAACAAATATATGACTGAAATGGGTTAATTTATCTCATAGGTTTTATACATAAATTTTATCGATTTTTATAGCACTGCAAAAAGTAGAGTCCTTCAATAACTTGGCTATTCTCTGACTCTAGAGACAGGTTAACTCCATAAATAAAAGTCACCAGAATGTACATCTTTAATTAAGAGCATTTAAGAATTTAGAAAACCGTTGTTCACATAGATATTTTAACAAATACATTGGTCAATGATAAAAGACTTTACACGTGACTACAATTTTCATTAATCTATGCAAATGCTAGCAATTAATTGAATCTTGATGGTCTTTCATTTTATTAAGGGAGTATGATCATCATATTTATTTGGATCTCAACATTAAATATATATCTCCAATAAGTTCTAAAGGTATTGGTCTGTGTCACATGTGTTCGTTTTATTAGCAAATGTTGGTTACATAATTATAATAAATATATGACATTTAGAGTGATAATTAATATTCTTAAAGATTCATTATGACTAAGCATTTATGCTTATAACTGCTAAATTAAGTGATAATACGTTCAAAGTATTGTTAGTTATGATCATTAAAAGTGGTAATATTTTCAAATGCTAAATTTATTAGTGATGAAGACGTGTTAGAGAATTATTCTCTATGTTACATGCCTCAAATTTGCTCCAGAAGTAGCAATATTTCGGAAGAGGTGTTCAGACACCGGATTTGAGTCTTGGTGCATCATGATGATAAGACATTGGGTTTGAGTCTCATCGCATTATGGCTTAACATGCCTTTATGAGGGTAAGACATTGAATTTGAGTCCCAATGCACCACATTAATGATATAATGATAACTGAGGCAAAATAATATGCTTTTAATGAAGCACGTCCCTCTAGATCTGCTCCATTTCCTGAAGCGAATGATAGCAATAAATCAAAGTCTAAAAGAAGACTAAATAATTATCGAGACTATATGAATATACGTGGACATGGCAATAAGACGAAATAATAATCATCATCATGATTTTAATTATGAAATGGAGAACAATAAGGGTTCTCGTATTAAAATTATCCTTCAAAAGGTGAAGGTAATATTAACCATGATGTGGTATGAAATGGCATTTGATACAAGAATATTGTACATCTGAACATTTTGTGTAGCTTTTGTCAATCCTCTATCAAAATAAAGGAAAATAAATACATATTTAACCTTACAAAATGATATTAAGGAGGGCTATAAAAATAAATATGATAAATGATAAGGCAACACAATAAGCTTATGCTGAGAAATCATGAGACATGTTCAGATGATTATGATACATTCCAGAAGTGAATGTGGACGTATGAAATAAACTCATGAACATGGATACGCTCTTGATTGTTGAAATCTCACAACTCACCTCTAAATAGGTTTGAGAGAAATAAAGAGGATAAATATCATTATGTGGCCGCATGATTATGTCATTGGTCGTATACCTATTTTACGTCAAAAATATTTTGCTATGCGTTATAAAAGGGAAAAAGTAAAGCAAGAAACATGTCTTGCTTATAATGATTTTGACCATGAGAATAATGATAATGACTTTCTTCTAGAAGGAGATGTTTCGCCATATGGATGGTAACAAATATGAATATGAACATGCGGCTTGTACTACACAAGTAGTATAGTTGGATCGCATGCCATAGTAAACCAGGGGTTACTAATGATTTTATTATTTGGCATGGCCGGTTGGGCCATCCCGGATATAATATGATGCACAAAATAATTGAGAATTCACATTATCATTTATTGAAGAATCAGAAGATTCTTCAAACTAAAGAATTCTCGTGTGTTGCATGTTCTCAATGCAAACTGATTATTAGACCATCAATAATTAAAATTGGGAGTGAATCCCATGCACTTTTGGAATGTATATAGGGTGATATATGTGGGCCCATACACCCTCCATGTGGACCATTTAGTTATTATATGATTTTGATAGATGCATCTACAAGATGGTCACATGTGTGCTTGTTGTCAACCCGAAATTTTGCATTCCCGAGGTTGTTTGCCGCATTAATACGATTAAAAGCACGATTTCCGGATTATGCGATTAAGACACTTCGTATTGCTAGTGAGTTTACATCACATGACTTTAATGATTGTTGTATATTAACTGGTATAACAATTGAGCATCTGGTTGCTCATGTTTTTACTCAAAATGGTCTAGCAGAATCATTGATCAAATAACGCCTCCAATTAATTGCTAGACCAATGCTTATGATAACAAAAAATTTCATCTCGACATGGGATCATGCTATTTGCATGTAGCAGCTCTTGTATGGATCATGCCACAAGTTATCATAAAGTCTCCCCATTACAATTGGCTTATGATCATGAGCCAAATATTTCTCATCTTAGAATATTTGAATGTGTGATATATATTCTAATTATTATACCACAATGCACAAAGATGAGTCCTCAAAGAAGATTGGAATATATATTGGTATACCCAATATTAGGGGTGAGAAAATGAGCAGCTGGAATAAGAGACAGATTGAAATGCATCGTCTCCGAGATATCAAATAAAATTTTCATCAGGGGAGCGATAATAGGCTATATTTATGCAATTTAGACACTATTTATATTCTAATTTAGCCGCACTTTATTGATATTTGAATGCTAAAAGATAACAAAATGCTCTAATTAAAAATTTTATGCTTGGCAGGAGCCACTCCGAGCTAGGAGGAAGCTAAAGAGTATTTTGGAGTTAACATGGAGTGTGGAAGGCCAATCGAAGATTAGCCCGGTCGAAAAGGAGCGAGAAAAGCAAGCGGAGAGGTTCCCTCCAGGTGCGCGACTGCGGAGTTGATCGCGAATTGGACCGCGCACTGGAAGCAGAACACTGGTTGAAAGCCCCGGATCCGCGGCCGCGGACGGGCGGATGGAGGCCAACAACTCATAGGCAATTATGTAATTTTCAAGGCGACTAACCTAAACCTATATGAAGCCTAATTCGCCTAGAAGAGGAGGAGAGAGGATTTTAGGAGATTTTGGAGGCAAGAACAAGAGAGAGAGA